CTACAGCTGAATCAATATGTCAAGCAAAAACATTTTTCTGGATCCAAGATCTCAAATGTTAAGATTTTATATGTTTCTCTCTCGTTTGTGATCATAGACCGATTGTTTTTATTGTAATAGCCGATAGACAGAAAATGAATTTGGAACTATTCTGATTAACTGCTTTAGCCATTTGCCAAGCAAAACTCACAAACAAATGGCAGCATATTTAACTTTTCAGATGTGAGGATTTGATGCTTTGTTTGTCATGTTTGACCATACGCTGGTTGTATTTCAGATTTGAGACTGATTGTCAAATTTTAAAAAGCTGTTTGTGTAAACTGCCTTAAGCTATGGGACATTATTACAGATATCTCCCGATATTTTCTGACATTTCACAGACAAATCTATTAACTGATTGAGAAATAATCAGCAGCAGTCGCTTTCTGCTGACATTTTCTGGACAAAATGACCTATAAATCTAAAGTAACCAGCAGGTTAATCCATCATAAAAGTCATCATGTCATGCAGCCCTAATAGCCACTCACTACTGCTTTTTATGCTGGTGGAGCTATACCCGCTGCCTTCTCTTTTGTTCTTATTAACTTGCCCATTAGTATTATAACATCTTCCCCAGCTGCTGCTCCAAGTAGTTCTTTTACTACTGTGACCATAGAGAGCCAAAGCCATGTCGTCACATCCCAGTTAGCCTCTGTTCCAAGTAGCTTCAGTGACTCTGTGCAATCTCTCATTTAGCATTTGTTTCCATCAGTCATTGTAAGAAAATTAAGCTTGTTCCTATGGATTTTTTTCATGTTCTAAGACTAGTCACCAATGAACACAACTCTCACAAAAACTATAGTTGCAGTGATCACTTTGGAGCACGGCGGTATACGTCACTGTTATTTACCAACTCTTCTGCACTATCATTATAGTGTAAGCAAATGTAGTGCAACTCACAACATACTACTGAAAACAGCTGCGTTCCAAGGCTGGATTTTTAGTTATTAGCCAGACCAAAATCTCAGTGGGATTGTGAACAGGGTTTTCTTTCTTCTGGAACACAGTTTCACTTCGGCTCTTCATTCCTAGCATTATTAGAGTTACTAGATAGGTGACAGACTTGTTTGCAGACATTACTGATGCCCAGAAACATCAAATCCTGACAAAATACAAAGTTCAACACAGGTTGTGCATTGGTTTTATAAGTGTCACACAGCTAACGTCACAGTATTATAAGGAAGTGTCGTCTATGTCCTCCGCGCTAGTCTAAAACTCAGTGATAATAATAATAAGCAGCATTTTATTTTTAATCTGGATGTTGTGTCTTTGAGCCTGACACTCATTACTGATGGTAGCAGGAAATCTAGGACACTGTGCCTCTCTGGAAAGAAATGTAATCTGAATACCTACAAATTACCTTTGGTGTAGTTTGGTCACCCTGTTCAATGTTACAGCCACAACTGCAAGGTCCAAATCAATAGCTGTGATCAGGGACTATTGATATGGGCAAATGAAAGCTCACCATGTTTCTCATAAATGGCGCTGTGGTTTAATCATTGGGCGCATAACCAACACTGGGTCAGTATTCATCAGTTGTTTAACTATAAGCTAGACAGGTTTGTCAAAACCACTCTTCTTGCTGATTGTGTCCAATGACAGCTCCACTGTCACAAACGGAGGACACGTTATTTTTCATGAATGTTACTGTGGCTTGCTTTAGATTTTAGAACTGATCGGCTACTGGGCTGTGCTTCAGACTGCAGTGAGGTCAATGTGCCACATTCTTCTACTGTTAAAATTAAATCATAAGTTTTATACAGAACCTCTGATTATGTGGTATCATCATCGTTACTGTGTGCTGTTCTTGAGTTATTCTGACTCCACCCTAAATACTTCACATGAGATACACCCTGTGTCAGTTTGAGTTAATGGTGTCTTTCCTTGCATTTTAAATCACTGCACTTTCCCCCCACTGCTTTTACAATGTGTCCATTAGCTGCTTCATTAGGCTCGAGGTTTGGGCAGACTACATTTGTTTTCTTGTCAGAAAATACTGCACTGTCACGGATGATTTTGGCAACACTATGAGTTTACTTCGTTGAAGCAGCGATGAACAGACGGACAACCTCGTTTCTTCTCGTCATGATAAAGTGTCACCTTACAATCTAAACAGCTGTAACACATCTGGTCTTCTGTAACAATTAAACAAAACTGAGTCTTATGTTTTAAAAGAAAAACACAACTGTAACACATCTGGTCTTGTGTAACAGTTAAACAAAACCGAGTCTTATGTTTTAAAAGAAAAACACAACCCAGACCCTCCTATGACACTCTGGTTCCCAAAGTCTGATGTTGACACAGATCACCAGCTACTCAAGGTAAAAATGTTAAAAAGAAGCACAGCTGATATGCATGTATTGAGCTGAATTAGTTGTCGTGATCCTGCAGGAGCTACATAAACCTTCCAAAAGCAGAGCCACTTCTGAAAATAATCAGACTGAAGGTCTCAGTGTGCAGATTTAAATCAATTTAAAATTTGACAGTTAAAAAAAAAAAGTCTACAGCATGATGTTTCCCGTCCTCTATAGACAAGCTCTTACATTATACAAAACAGATGTCTCACTCATACCAGTGTTGGCTGGTTTTCTCTCAGTTCACCGTTGTTGTTCTGAGAGTCATACAGTTAAAACTGAAAACATCAATAAAGAGCTCAGGTAAGGAAATCTGGGATTTAGGGCTTCTGTCAGGTGATTCAAATGAATGATATGTGCTAGAAATTCAGTAAAGTGTTATCATTTCAGATTAAAGACAGACATGATACCATTTTATTCATCCATAAAAGCTGTTTCCTTTGTGCTTGCAAATGGAGTTATCCTCACACAGACTATGCCAAATTCCCATACTGAAAATAATGTAATCAAAGTTAGAGCTAAGGGGATTTAAATTGATATTATTGACTGGGAGAATAAAAAAAACTAATCAGAACAAAAGCATTTCAGCTGAAGTCATTGTGCCTGGGACTGCGTTGTACCAGTGCCGATATGGTGACTAATGCATTCAGCATCAGTGACAGGAGGATGCAAACTGTCATTTGTAAACATTACTGCCTCTCGTTGACATGATGTGATGGTGTAGCTGACAGAATGGCAGCAGGGTTTCCTAACCTTTGAGCAACAGGTTATGTCACCTTAGGGTCAGGAACATCCCCCGTCAGCATTTGAAACAGTTCCATTATACATGCAATGATCTTTTTAGGTTGCAGGGCAGCCTTTACAGCTGGACAGCAATAAATCAATGAAATCATGTTGTGATCCAAGACTGGGCAGTGTAGGGCATCTTAGTTTTTATTATAGTGTGATCAATATCAATCCTGTCATTTCAGGGTTGTAAAGGTTGCATTAAAGTCAACTGAACTGATGAGATTTTTATACTTAAGTCTCTTACAGCTAATTTGTTTTAGTGTTTTCCACAATATTCTCACCAAATCATTCCCTGTAACCACACAAGGTGATCCCCAAACGCATGATTGATACAAGAGCAGCCAGTCAGCTCAGCCACAGGATTGTTCAGGAAAGTCATATCCTGACCTACTTCATATCAGCGCTGGACCACAGTGGTCCACAAATATCTGATTTCCAAATTATTTTCAATAAAGAGGTCCATATCTGTCTGACTGAATGGCTACACACCACCCACATGTGTTCAGGCAGGACTCCAAACCCTTATCTGCCCACTCACTCAGTGATCCTCTGTGTGAGTCTACCGGTTTACCAGCAGTTTTGAATGAATAAATAAAAATCGCCCCACTGATAACTGCTCTACAAAAGCCCCGTGAAACCTCTTTCTCAAAATAACACTACTGTCATCTCCATCTAGATTTGATTACAATTTCCACTGAGGGTATTTTCATTACATAAAGAGAGAGCTGGAACCATAACAGCAAAGCTGCCACCTGAAACCACCTCTGGGACTGCACCACTGGGCTTTTGACTGTTTTCTCTCTCACACACACACACACACATACATACACACACAGTGCACGGGCATAACACAATAATACCAGACATGCTACCTGTTGGTGATTTCATCCTGCTACAGGGCCAACGTATTGCTTTCAGCATGTGGAATGACAGGACACCAGGAGGCATACAAGCTACCTAGTTTAAGGGGATATACGGGGTGTATGGGGACACAGGGACGCTATTCCGGTAAATATGCGGGTAAATTTGGACTCCCGTTAGTAATAACCAGAATAAACCACAACACTGCGCCAGGCTATCAAACCAGCATTAATACGCAGGTTCTCTTACGATGCGTCTCTAGTGGAGCACACTGAGTCAGATAAAGCACAGTGAGAGGATCACAGTGTTTTACTCTGCACATTCATGATCCCCAGTATTCCCACCATGAGGTAAGTGATGGAAACTGGAAAGACAGGTAAGCCCAGCCCAGGGGGCTGCGGTGGATCCTGCATTCCTTCCTTCCTTGTCCCCAGTAACTGACTGCTGTTACATTCCGTAGAGTAAAAGTCCTGCCGAACTCCGTTTAAAAACCTGCCAAATAAACGTTTCAAATTCACCGGCAGGTGTACCTTGATCCCAAACATGACATAAAATATCTAGCGAAACACCGCCAGTTGTTCTGGCAGGTTCGGTGGTAAATAATTAACTATCTGATCCGATCTGATTTAAAAAAAAACACAAGTTGTGTAACTGTAGGCTACACTTACTCGCACGGCTCTCCGCGATGTAACGCTAGGCTCTATCAGTGGAGGAGCCTTTTAGGACAAGCAGCGAACATTTGGTAAAAGTTCAATTTTTCACTTTAATGCTCACTGGCGTATTATATACGGGCCGAGTTGAAGAGAGGACATGACCGATTCGTCTAAAGCCTTACGTTTCACCATACATATCAGCTGCCCTGAGTCAAAGGAAATATAAAAATGACAGTTTTTTGGCTAAGTTTGGCATGGCGTTTTTCTTTGTACAACCACCAGTGTAAGCTCATCAGATCCTTACCTCTTTAATCTTGGCCCGTCGGTCCCTGGTTTCGGGGTCCACAGGTTCATGTCCAGTCGCCCCCGGTGGGCGGTGATACTGAACGAAAGGTAATTTAGTGACCACCTTCCCATGTTCCTCTTGACCCTTACTCTCCTTCGCAACTTTCGCCTTCTCATTTATAATGTCTTGTTTTATCTCGTCGGGCCGTTTTTGTAGCGTATCCTTGGCCTCTAACAGAGCTTTTTCGTGGTCTTTCCTGATTTTGGCCAGGACTCTCTCGTCGTTTCCAGCCGAGCCGGAGTCGCTGCTGTCCGGACCGGTACGGGTGTTGGTCTCCACCGCAGAGGAATGAAAGAAAACTCCGCTAAGCAGCTTGGACGAGTCCGGTAGGAAGAAAATGGCCCCGAAACACAGGGTTATAAAAGCGCTGAACACTAATAACAAAATGAATTTCTCTGTCAACCTGAAAGAGGTCGGGCTGGCAGACTTCCTATTCGGGGTCACGGTAAAAGGCAGAAGAGTTGCAACTGGCATTTTCCCCACTTCCCTGAACAACTCGAACAACAGAAAATTTAATTTAGTAGTCGACTTAACTCACTCCGGTATCAGTCTCGACTTATTCCGTTCACAAATCCATTTCCAGCTCATATAAACCTTATCAAATTTAAAATAACAGTGGCAGACTCACTCGAATATAGTTGCGGAGTAAAGCAGCCGTCCATACCGGAGACGCGCTACAGACAGAGCGATTCAACGGCTCACACAGGAAACAATGGTAGATAGGCTTGACTGACAGCCGCGATGAGCTAATCACTTTCCGCCCTGTAAGTGGTGGGCGGGCAGAGGGCGTGCCCCTCCAGGGTGTGTATAAAAGTGCTGACAGTAGTTGCGAACACTATCATTTTTATGATCCGTAAAGCAGGAAGGAGGCTGGTATGATTAAGTTTGGAAAAATGTTACCATTTTTATAGGAACTCTCTGTTTTATTCTGTGTTGCTTTGTTAGCAAAAATATCAAAATGTCCTGTATCCAAAGCTTGTAGAGGTTCTGCCAAATTAGCTTGTCTGAAGTAAAAGTGATGGTTAAAGATCCCCTCCAGAGACACTGAAAACACATCTGGTGTTTGTCTCTCATTGTGAATTTCAAGTTTCATGAATATTCAAATATATGCAAATAAGCACAGACATTCCTCACAGCCCACCAACAGTGCTTCCCTGAGGTAGACCATGAGATCACTGTGTCAGGATATGATGGCAGGAGGAAATACTGGAGATATTCAGCTGGATCCAGACTGGTGAGGAGTCTGCATGGATGTAACATGAAAGCTCTGAATGCTTTTTTCCACAATTGCCATTGCTCACCAGCTTAGCTCCCATGTCATGTGGTTATGTCATGTGTCTTTCTGCTCGTTTTCAGGTCCTCTGTGATCTCATGACTTGTGAAAGAACAGGGGCTTCAGCCCAGCTGCAAATTAATAGGCAGCTCAAATCGAAAAGGCTATTGAAGTTGTTGTTGCTTCTTATATTATTTATCACCAAAACTGCTGTATGTCTGGTGAATTACTTTCTCACTATTATAAAGATAAATGCTGGACTTATTATGCAGAAGCATAGCAAGCCCTGCTCACAATACACAGTTAACTACCATTGAAAATCTCATCTATTACTTTGTGCAGAGTGCTTATTGTTATTCATAGGCTTAAAAAATGGACAAAATCCCACCTCACAATGCATAAGACCATACACACATGCACGAATACACACATACACTTACTGCTGAGATCCTTGATCTTTGTGAGTCTGTATGTGAATATGGGAGATAAATTGATTTGATTTTGATTTGATTTATTCTTTCAAGCATGTAGAAACAGTTGATATGACAACACACATAATTTTACACATAATCCAATATCAGTTTGCTTATACCTAGTACATGCTTGAATGGAGGAAGAAGTCAGACTTATCCAGTCGTCCTACCCCATGACATCTTACCATCATTGGTTTGCAAGCAGTAAATGATTCACTTCTACCTACACAAGTATAATACTAAAAAAAAAAAAAATTACAGTGTTAACATTCTTACGTAATTACATTCTTTCTACACCACACAAGTAATATACTAAAAAATTATTACAAAGTGTTAACATTCATACACCACACCCACAATGTTCCATCTAATTAATCATTGAGCCTGTTCTTGCATATATCTTGATTGACACATACCTTTATATTTATGTTTACACTCGTCAATTCTATTACTATTTTTTATGTCCACACATAAATTATTCCATAGTTTTACCCCACTTATGGAAATACAAAATCTTTTTTTGGTTGTACATATAGCATGAATTTTTAAATTTAACACCCCTAAAATTATATACCGGTAATAAATTTATATATACAGGTAATAAATTGTTCCTGGCTTTATACATAAACACAGCAGTCTTATATCCCACTAAATCAAAACATTTTAACAATTTAGACTGTATGAAAGCTACAATGGTGTGATCCCTATACCCCATCTTATGCACAATTCTTATCGCTCTTTTTTGTAATATATACAATGGTTGAAGTGAGCTTTTGTATGTATTTCCCCAGTTTTCAATGCCATACTCTAAGTATGGTAGAATCAATGAGGAATACAAAATGCGTA